TTGATGGAATACTTGTTATCCTCCAATTTGTAAAGCTCAACGAGGTTCGCCTTGTACGTAGTCCATTTCCCATCCTTCGGTCGGGCTTCCTTAACTTCCCTTCCAAGACTCGGGTCCACATTAAATAGGAAGTTTTCTATAATCTCTTCCTTCGACCACTGACTCCGGCTGGCGTGAAGCTCCCACTTTTCCAGATATTCCGTGATACCATAACCCCTGAAGGTAGGAGGCTCTGAGGCCTTGTGCGTAATAATATAGCGATCCTTGCTCTCGTAAGGGAGTGGATGTGACTCCCCTGTCTGGGGGTCGAAGACTCGCCTGAGCGGCGCCCTCTCCCTATCTCTTTCCCTCCGATAGGAATCCCTCAAATTCTCCCTCCAGTCGTCTCTGTACCTGTCCGCTATGGCGTCCCTCCGTTCGTACTCGGGGGAGCGCCGCCTCGTCGCTTCTCGTCGTCCGCTCCAGGTACCCGTCTTTACAGCCTCCTGCGGCTCTGTCGCAACTGGTTCGCCTCTCATGTCGGGCCCTCCGTCATTGGTTTGGTCAGCCCATCTCAGCGGTGCTTCTTGCCTAATTCGTTCCTTCAGATCCCTCAGTGCTCGATCGGGCGATGCCCTGTACTCCTCTTCTGCTTCGCCCGTCGTCGGTTGTGGCCCTATCGTGTCGGGTTTCATTGGACCGCCAGAAGATGTAGTTAGGTATTCTAGCCAACTGTCTCAGCCCGACCCTATGTCAGTCGCTGCAGCCCGGACCTGTGACAGTCGCGGCAGCCCGGACCTGTTTCTTTATCACGACTCGCGTCCGCCTCCAATCTTAGCTCTCGACTGCCTTGATTACCACCTCCAGTATCCCGTACCGGTCGCAGATCTCGTGTTCTCTCTCTATCTCAAGAATCTCTGTATCTAAGTAACCTCTCCTTCGGGTTCGGTCAACAAGGCCGTGCCTGTCCGGATCCACAGTACGCCCGTGGCAGGACCTCTATCCTTGAAACAGATTGCAATCCCAAACCTAACCAATGTCTCCTGATCAACACTCCTCAAGAGTCCCGGAGCGTCTTTCTCCGTCCTCCTTGCTAGTTCTCCTAGCCCTTGTCTGAATCGGTTCGCCCGCTAAAGGCCCTCCTACTGTCGCCCAATGTCGCCCATCGACCTTTCTAGCTTCCTCTACCCTTCCAGGAGCTTCCAATTTCTATTTCCACTACCTTATCTCCTCAACGGTTTCGAGGTCATCTGTCTAACAGCTGAGGTAAGTTAGTGCTATAACGACTTGTAACCTCATCGCCGACCGCTCCAATATGTCATAAAATGTCTCAAAGTCCTCATTATCTCCTCCTTCGTCTATCGCCTCTAAAGTCTTTATCGTTTCCTTCCAGTAACGGTTCTGAGCGGCTAACACCCTCCGTATTGCACCATCTGTTACAACTTTCCCTAACTCTCCAGCCTTCCTGGCTTCGCTTATCTTCAACCTCTCAGCCTTTCTGGTCGTCTCGTACCATGCCCTTATCCGAGACCGCCCTTCGAAGGGTGTTACTCGGAGTACGTATTTTATCCTCCGTCCTCCTTCTATTGCCCGTCTCCTGCAGTACCTAATCAGATCGATAGGCCTCAGACAGTCCACCCAGCTCATAACATCTATGATGTCGTCAAGGGTCTCTCTACTGGGCGGCCCCCACCTCACACAAATGRCGTAGTATACTTCCTTGAAGCGGGGCGCTAAGCCCTCCCAGAGCGTGTAAAGTGTGTGATCCACTGCTCTCCTCAAACGATCCACGCTCCCATAAGTCTGCCCTATCACGAAGGTAGGAACTCCGAATTGCCAATCCTTTCTCGGGTAGAGGGTCGGATGTGGTGGAACGTATACCAAGCAGCTCCTACTCGTCCTCCCTCCAGAGAGTCTCGCCAATTGCTGATTAACGATCACTCTGGCCAACAACTCGCTTCTCCACCAACTCCTGCTCGCCCCTGCGAGCGTTAGCCCTATCTCTAAATTGTGTGTTCTATCCGCTATTAGATGTCCGACCCCTTCTAGATCATGAGTCCTCTCGGGTCGTTCGTCTCGTAGTATCACTGTCCATAGGAAGAGCCCCTCTGCGAGCCACAGGAAGTGGTATGTCGTATCCAACCGCCGTCTCTCTGGGTCGCACAAGCTTCCTCACACTATACGATTCGGGCTCTCGTGAGAAAACATAAGCTAACCAGACCGCTGAATCACTCCTCATTTCTTCTCCTACTCTCGGTCAGCATCACTCTACTCCCTCCGATACACCCCATCTCTCGACGTTGCTAACCCTTCTGACAACTCTCGCACTCAGGTCCAGTATGGTCGAATAGGTTCAGTAGCCAGGCTCACTCATCTGTCGCCCTGGTGCGCTCCTCCACCTTCTACGCCCGGACCGCTACTCCTATCCTGGGAAAATGGGCGTCTATAACGTCAATCTCCTCCTCGTCAACCTCACTCTCTGGGTCGACCCAGTCTGGTCCCCACAGCTCCTCGTTGTCCTCTCGCTCCCAACCCTCGTCGTCAAACTCGTCCTCGACGCGGTATGGCGCCTGTCCTATGGCCTGGTAGTATTCCGACAACTGATGGCCGTATATCAGGGGTCGCCCGGCGTCCTCATTCCACCAGCTCCCCCAGTCGTCTGAGAAGAGCCGCCCGATGCAAGTCACGTACTCGGGGCCTGCTCGGAGCTCACGGTCTAACCAATCCCAAACGCACGAAGACTGGGGCCACTCGTCGTCTATCGAGCGGATCAT